ACAATCGGCTCAACTTTGGCAGAAATTTGAGAACGATGAATTGCTATAAAATCACGGGTTAGCAATTCAGAAAAAAACAACAGAGGGGAGCAAACGTGTACAGAGATAGAATTACTCGCTAGTCGTGCAAAGCAACAAGGTATAATTCAGAACTTCAAGGTACACAAACTTATTTAACAGAATGTTTCACAGATAAAAAATTCTAAACTCACCTTCACAGTAAACAACCTTTAGCGGATAGGTGACCTTTGTCTCCGAATCGGATACGTCTCCTTCCGCATTTTCCACAGACATCTCTTCAACCTGAAACTGAAGGCGTATATATTAATTTCTAATTCAGGTCTCGCATAAGCCTAAATAATTGAAACAACGTATATTAAATGATTTTGATACACAATTACAATTATAACTGTATTATTATAAAATACAATAACATTATACAACGCCCACAAAACCTGGCCCTTTCTTAATGCTGAACGGAAACATTTTCGCCCAAAATCAAAAGTGGTAATATCAAAGCAATGAATAAAATGCCGTCTTTATATCATAAAAGATCGCTAAGTTTCTATTCATTACTCACAAAAAAGCACAAAAGGATAAAAGCACACGTCAAAAGATATTCAATCGAACTCATAAAGTTTTACTCAGCGAGTAAAGACATTGCATTTCAAATGTCATGGCGCACACCAAAATACAGTACTTTAAATTTGCAGGCACAGTTTAGTTGGTCTTTTACAAGATATATCTAAACGGCCTTTTTTGTCAAATCAATAAGCGCGATACTTCTGTGTTACTACTTTAACCGATCAAGCTGCGCCTGGATGATGTGGATATTTGTTCTCCAAGAAAGAGACAGTGCTGCTGTCCGCCATTTACTACTACACAATTTTACTGTCACAAAGAATTAGGAGATTATATTTAACAACCATTGGCGATTAACAGCCACACTGTATCGACTTGCCTTATTTATAGCAGTAAATTTTAGCTCGTAAGAGGAATTTGAAGCAAATCAAATTTTTTGTTCCATGGCAGGCAGCGCGGAAGGGAAGTAAATGGTTTTGTTTTAGTCGTTTCAGTGTTTTTTTTGCTGTGATAAAACGAAATACTATCTGTTTGTTATTAACAAATCACATATCCCGCTTTCCATTAACGAGTTTCATTCAGTTTCCTTCTGCCTAACAGCAACCACGTATACGATATGGGCGACAAATCGCCTGTGGTCTTAAAGTTTGCAAGTGTGAACCCATGAATAAATTTGCGAAATATTGGATACAAATAAATATTGCAGCTTAAGTTTCCTGCATGTCAGGTTGTCAATGTTATAGTCAGTTCGTGCTGTAAAATGGCAAAAGTTTTCTAGATACAGTATGATAATAGACGTGACACTCTTATTACAGTCCCTTTTTAAATGTAATTTTGAAGTTAGGCTTTCTGAACATGAATCTCATTATCCTGAAAATTAAAGCAGTCGTGCTGTCAAGACAACTTTTTCACATACAGTAAAGAAAAAGTGCTGATGTTGTAAATACAGTAGATTTTAAGCTATTTTATTTGTTCATTCCACAGTAGTAAATACAGTATATGGTCGTAAACGCAGTAAGGACAGTGCATTTGCCATGTACTAACGATGGTCATTCTCTTCCATTGAAAAACTTTTTCAGCTACAGAGCCATAGGTTTGCTATATATGTATTTAATATACATATAAACGTACATTAACCTTTATTTCATGTACACATAAGCGACAATCCATAAATGTAAATCATGACAGAACAATAAAAAATTTTTATGCCATTATACTATTTACGCCTTCGATTTTTAGAGAGTGAATGCTCTTCCATATTGAAGTGCTGCACATATCTTTCCAATACTTAAGCCAGCAATATGAAAGAATGACGTTCAAGTCTTCGATGCAGATAAAACATTTTGATCGTTGTAACCACAAGGTTAAACCATGCAAAATACGAACAGGTAATTGGTAACTTCTCCTTGTAACAGAGTAAACACTGGAAAAATCATGCATTGAAAACGAAACTCTTAGATGTTCTTATGGGTAAAGCCTTGTCCCTTTTTCAGCGGGTCGATATTTACTGACTGCAGACGCATATCTTGGTGAAGGAGCACCTTTGTAGCCTTAAAGTATCCGAGGCCGCTGATGTATATTGAAACTGCTTGGACATAGTGTCGCAAATGAGCTCAGCGATATAGGTGTCGCGATAGGGTCGCCATCATGCACTGCATCGAAAGGAAGCGACTTCGAAGCCAGACAGTAAAGAATCATTTACTATCAGCAACTAATTTTACCGCTTGACGTTGTTACGAAAATTAGAGTCTGTGTGGAATTATGAAAATGAAAACAGAAGTTTTGCTACAAAGGAAAATGCGACTGTATCTCACAATACACCTGATCAACAGGTTCAAAACATTATTGACATAAATGATTTGACACGAATCGTCGCTTTGGAATAAATTTCTAAGCAGCATACTCTTCATTTAAATAGATCATTCTTAATGCCATGAAGATATATGTTATCCGATGATTAATATTTTCTATTTTAAGGAAAATTAAGGATTTATAACAGGTTACCTCTGCTTAGCCTAAGAAGACGGACAGAGAAAAACAGCTTTCCTCTCCACTAAAAATAAACTAACCTCTTAAATACGTCTCTGTCGAAGCAGCCAGAAACATAAGGCAAATGTGGAAATTACCTGCCTAAGTCTGGTCAGAAACGAAAAAGCAATAAGATGGTATGGTGCGCGACACTTGGTATTTAACCGTCATCATCAAGGCCTTACGTTTTTCTGTACGTTTAAGGAAAAATAGAAAATAGCGAGCAGAAATGCTAAATCATTTTGACCAACGCCCAACCAATGACCGCACATCACACATTCGGAGATAAATGTCGTCCGATCGATTTAAACGGGAAATGGTAAATGCACAGGCACAATGAAGTCATTCTTACTCAATGAATGGCCTGCAAAGTATGAAAAATAGTGCAGCACCCACCTTTAAACTTTTTATAATGAGTTTTAAAGGGAAGTCGCTAAATGCTAAAAATTGATCAAATTACACAATTCCATGAAACATTAATAACTGATGATGTGCAATAATATGCAAATTCTCGTTGCAATGATCTGTTATAAATACACCCTATCAAGCTATTTTAATTTTATGGAATACAATTGACTGAAATACGCAATTTGAGAAGGTAAAAACTGGCTAAGAGAGATGACTCACTTTCAGCAAATATAATTAAATAATCAGTGATTAATGCCGAAAATGCTGCAAGTTTATGCTCTATAATGTTAATGCCATTTTTGTTATTATGAAAAATCCTGAGGAACAAAAAGCGTGATTGTAAAGCGATAATAT